CAGTCCCAAAAGAAAGAAAACCAGATGTTTAATAGCATGCTATGTAATGCTTTCAAATTTCCATTATTTAATTTGGTCCATGGATGTCATTTTTAGTAGGGCGACCAATGCTCCCTCTAAGCTGTGGACTCTTGTGAGCAAAAATTCTACTTTGTGAGCTACTGGCATTAAAGTTGTGAGCGAGCAATTTGGCTACTGCATGGATTAGTTTGCTCTGGAACCACCCTTCCTGAGCGAAGACAAAAATCTGTGAGCTGGAGGCTAAAAAAACTGTGAGCTCGCTCACACTAACTCAGCTTAGAGGGAACACTGAGGGTGACAGAAAGAAATGGCTTCGCTGAGACTTCGTTTTCATGCATCCAACACAGTGGCATCTAAATCAGGGAAACGTAATTAATAATAAAGTGACATCAAGATACAACTGACTTATGGCGACCCTCATGGGTCTTTCAAGGCAAGAGGTGAGCAGAGGTGGTTTGCCAGTTTGGTGTAGTGGTTAAGAGTGCGGACTCTAATCTGGGAGAACTGGATTTGATTCTGCATGCAGCTGCTGGCGCGACCTTGGGTCTGTCACAAGTCCTTTCAGAGCTGTTCTCTCAAGAGCAGTCCTTGAAAGAGCTCTCTCAGCCCCACCTACCTCACAGGGTGTCTGTTGTGGGGAGGGGAAGGGAAGGGAGATTGTAAGCCACTCTGAGACATCAAGTAAAGGGCGGGGTATAAATCTAATCTCCTCCTCCTCTTCTTTATCTTCATCTGCATAGCAACACTGGTCTTCCTTGGCAGTCTCCCATCCAAGTACTAACCATGACTGACCCTGCATAGCTCTGGCAAGCTCATCCTGGTTGGGGCTATTCAGGCAGTTTATACCATGATAAAGCTGCAATTCTGAGCATACTGACTAGGGTGTATTGCATACCAGGACACAAGAAGCTGCTTTATACTGAAACTGACCCTCAGTCTATCAAGGTCAGCGTTGTCTACTTAGACAGGCTGTGGCTCTCCAGGATCTCAGGGAGAAATCTTTCCCATCCTATCACCTACGGCTCGCTCCTTTTTCAACTGGAGATTCTAGGGACTGAAGCTGGGGGTCTTCTGCCAACACTGCAGAAGTTCTACAGTGGAGCCACAGCCCTTCCTCAATGGGAAGTAAATGCCATTTCACATCATAGACTTTACTCAGAGTATGCCTGCTCAGTTCCATAGCCAGGATTTCATTCAGGAAGGGCCACCAATTAAATTAAAATGAACAAAGCCCTTAATTTCCCCTTTGCCTCTGCTCCTGCATGCCCCAAAGAGCCCCAGTTCCAACCGAGCTGGTGGCCGTGGGCCAAGGTTCTATGCCCAGCTTCTCTCCCGTCAGCCATGCGAAGCCCTCCCAGCCCTGGGCCAGGCCAAGCCACCTCCCTGTGCTTTTGTGGAGCCCTGGAACCACCGTGGTGGTGGCAGCAGCCAGAGGTTTCCAAGTTGCTCAGGAGCTGCCAGCCCGCCTGGAGCTCTGCTAGCATGTCGCGTGCTCAAGCAGCAGTGCCACCACCTCTCCTCCTCCCAGTCCCACCAAGTCCTTCTCGGGCTTCTCCTCCGCCGGCCTGGCTTTCTGGCTGGCTACTCACCGCCACCAGGCTGAGCTGGAGCACAGCCAGCAGAAGCACCTCGCCAACACCAACACCAGCCAAGGTTGCCCATGGTCACCTGGCAGCCCCAATCTTGGACTGCGTCTCTCCTGCGTCTCACCTTGGGCCAGGGGTGGGGTTGGTGGGGTTAGGCATAGCAGATTCAGAAGGGAGTGTTGACTGTCCCACCCCTGCCTAGCTACGGGCCTGAGCCTGTTTGACCCAGGCTAGCCTGATCTCATCAGATCTTGGAATCTAAGCAAGGTCAGCCCTGGTTTGTATTTGGATCGGAGACCACCAAGGAAGTCCAGGGTCACTATGCTGAGCCAACCAATGGCAAACCATCCCTGAACGTCTCTTGCCTTGAAAACCCTGCAAGGTCACCACATGTTGGCTGCAAGGCACTTTCCTCCTCCACCATCACCACCACCATGCCTGATTAGGACTGCACTAGGATTTTTAGGTGGCACAAGGTACTTTTCAACAACACACTCAGTTACAAAATCGTGAATATTCTTCTTCTTAGTTTTATGGAAACCCCATTTTCTAAAAGGCACAGAATCGGGAGGTTTCCTTATTTCCTGAACTTCCTGCACTCTAGCAATGAATTCTGGGTTATGACAACTTCTTCCTGTCTATGGTACATGCCACCATGCTTCTTTTTATCCCTAGGTAAGTGCATTGAAATGGAAGAAAAGCAGATCATTCAGGGCTCTGTTAGCTTGCCTTACCCTCTGGTTCTCTTCGTGATAATGAAAACAATCCCAAGACTCAAAGAAGTTAAATAATCATTTCTGGATCATCTACCATTCCGTCTATATGTCTATCCATATTGTCTGTCTGTCTGTCTGTGTCTGTATGTCTGTCTGTGTCTGTCTGTCTGTCTGTCTATCTATCTACCTATGCCATCAAGTCACAGCTGACTTATGTTGACCACCTAGGGTTTTCAAGCCAAGAGGCAGTCAGAGTTGATTTGCCATTACCTGGCTCTGCGTAACCATGCTAGCATTCCTTGGTGGTCTCCCATTCAAATATTGACCAGGGCCAAATACCCCAGTGCTTGATCCAAGAGCATTTATGCTTTTTGTTTCATCTGTCATACCCCCAGTAATGGTTACTGGCTCTCCTTTTAGTGTTGCTTATGTGCAGAATTGAATTATTTTATCATTTTAACCATCTTTTTAATGGCTTAGATATTTTAAAGGTTTTTATGTGTGTTGCCTTGTGTTGGAAAGGTGGTATGAAAATGTTTTAAATAATGATGATGATGACAACAATGATAAATAAGAATAATAAAAATAAAACAAGGACATAAGAACCATGCTGGATCAGACCAGTGGTCCATCTAGTCCAGCATCGTGTCTCACACAGGGACCAACCAGTTCCTCTGGAGGTCTAACAACAGGGCATAGAGGCTGAGGCCTTCTCCTGATGTTGCCTCCTGGCACTGGAATTCAGAAGTTGACTGCATCTGAATTTGGAGGTTCCCTTAAGTCATCATGGCTAAACCAATAATAGACCTGTCCTCCATGTATCTGAATAACCCCCCCCCCCTTTTAAAATTGTATATACCTGTAGCCATCACTACATCCTCTGGTAGCAAACTCCACATTTTAATTACTCACTGTGTAAAGAAGTTTTTTTTTTCTTTTTGTCTGCCCCGAATCTACTGCTTATCAGTTTCATTAGATGCCCTCAAGATCAAGTATTAATTAAAAAAAAATTAAGTATTTTGGGAGGAGGAAAAATTATCTGTCAATTCTCTCCACCCATGCATAATTTCACAAACTCTTAGTCATCTCTTTTCTAAACTGAAAAGCCTCAGACTCTTCAGCCTTCCCTCATGAGGAAGGTGCTCCAACCCCCTAATCATCTTGGTTGCCCTCCTCTGTACTTTTTCCAGCTCTGCAATGCCCTTTTGGAGATACGGTGACCAAAACTGTACACAGTATTCTAATTGAGGCCGCACCATAGATCTATACAGGGGCATTACAATATTTCCCGTTTTATGTTCAACCCCTTTCCTAATAATCCCTAACATAGAGTTTGCCTTTTCCACTGCTGTAGCACGCTTGGGTTGATGCTTTCATTGAGCTATGTACTATGACCCCAAGGTCTTTTCCCCTCTTTTGCAAGCATTCCATGAAACACACAAAAATGCTCAACTGGCATTTTCAAGAGTTCAGTGGAATACCTGCAAAATGTGCATATGGGGTGGGGGGAGATGTCAGTTCCCTTCTCCCCACGATTTGAGAGAAAACAGGCATAGCGAGCAGGTCAAATTCAATTTCTTGAGCTTTTGAGTTGCAAGGATTTCAGTATTTTAGTCAGAAGTTGCCTCTGGACACAAAGACCTTGTTCATGGCAAACACATTGGGGCAGTCCTAAGATTCTAAGCCGCCTTGAGTCTGAGAAGACAAAATGGGATGAAAGTGTTTTAAATCAACAAAGACAAACACTGTCCTGGGAGTAAGCCCCAACGGAGCTGAGTATGGCTATGGACCTGCCAAGAACTGCTCTCACAGCTGCCCATGACTAGGAATATAGGTCAATATTTGAATTTTTTTAATTAATATTTTTATTCTTTTACGTAATAGTACAGTTGAATACAGAGAAAGAAATATCACAAACTTGAAAACGACAGGAGGGTATACAACAAAGGGAGATAAGAGTTGTAACCATTGTATGTAACGGTTAAACTATGAACTATAAGGATCCCGGGTAAATATTAGAATTTTGATACTATTAAATCAGATATCTGAAGAACTGTATCATTCCATCATCGCCCACCCCTCTGGCTTGAGAGGTCACCAGGACAGGCAATATTGCCTGTGTACCCATGATATGAAGCACAGTGGTAAAAGCTAGATCCTGGACCTCCATAACAGAATCTTCCCTATCCTCTTTCCTGAGGGAGTCGAATCTTGCCAGCTCATTCTAGACTTTTAGGAATGGGATGAAGATCCTTCTTTTCACCAGAGCTTTCAGGGCAAAGGTAGTTTGTGTCCTTCCACCGTAATGGATTTAACCAGTAAAATATGTTACCTATAATCTTCTCTTTTAAAAATCGATCAAGTGGTGATTTGAGTGTTATTTTAACAGTATTTCTATTCATGTTTTTAAATTGAATTCATTATTGATGTCAGTGCTTTGAGAGCATGCTGGCCGAAATGGAGACTGAAATATTATAAATGAACAGTAATGCATTTCAAGGTGAGTTACCATGTTTATAAATTGTCATGAGACATTTTTTACCTTCTGCCTGGTCTCTGCTCGAATCTAACAGAGGGATGTCCAAGCGATATTGTGGCAAAATAAATCCTCTAAAATATAAAAAGGTATAATTCTCCATGTTACTTTATTTTATTTTTGCTTGTTACAGGTCATCTCTAACCATGCAGCCATCGCTCAAGTACTGCAAAGTATTATGAAGCTCTTTTTAAGGGAAGGAAATCCCATCCCCAACGTATCAGAGTTTCTGATGCACATCCATCAGCAATATGACCACCTAAGGACTTGTGTAAGTAGCAAGAATGATTTTTCCAACAGAGATCCAAGGACAAAATGAAGCTTTATAAAAAGACAGAATAGGAATGCAGAGATAGACAAAAAGGGACCACTAATTAGCCAGGTAGCAGGCTTTAAAAACAAGCAAAACCTTCTTAAGTGTAAATGCAAAATTAATTCCCAGCTTTCTGGATGCCGTCCATGCTTGTAGCTGCCACCACTTCCTGTGGCAGTGAATTCCAAGTGTTAATCACTCTTTGGGTGAAGAAGTACTTCTCTTTTAAAAATCGATCTGCTCCAGGATGGGAAATATCTGGAGATTTTGAGGTTGGAGCCTGGGAAGGGTGGGGCTCAGGAAGGGGAGGGGCTTCAGTGGGGTCCAATGCCATAGGCTCTACCTTCCAAAGCCGCCATTTTCCTCAGGTGAACTGATCTCTGTTGCCTGGACATCAGTTGCCATACCAGGAGATCTCCAGCCGCTGCCGGGAGGTTGACAACTCTGTGCCAAATGAGACATGGAGTGCCATTGGAAGGCTGGAGCTGGCACCTGGCCAGTAAGAGGATGAATTGGGAGACTCCTCCTTCCGTTGCAAGCATCTGCTCTGTCCTCCCTGTCCCCCGTGAACAATGTGCAACGAGCCCATTACCTAGAGTCTAAATGGGAATTTTTTCAGTCTTTTTCGGACTGGCAGTGAAGGGGATCTTTTTGAAGCAAATGTCTGCTTGACGTTTTTGGGAGATGGTTAATATAAATAGATGAGGATGGTTAGACTGCATTCGGTTGTCAATGACAGTGTGGGTTGCTAGCAGGGTTGACACTTTCTAGGTGGGGCCTGGAGATTTGGAATCGCAACTGATCCCCAGTTGCCAGAGATCAGTTCCTCCCAAGAAAACGGCCGCTGCAGAGGGTGGACCCTACAGCCTCACATCCCTGCTGAGCTCCCAACCCGCCCCCAAATGCTGCCCTCCCCAGGCGTTGCCCCCAACCCGCCAGGAACTTCCCAACCTGGAGTTGGCAAGTCTAGTTGCTGGAACATAGGTAGGGGTGATCAATCACCACCTCAAAGGCGCCTAAGTCTGAAGAGCCATGCCAAAGACATTGTTTTCTTATGGGGCCAGATAGTTTGGGCAGGGGTCATTTCCTGCAGTAGTGCACAGGAGCGGAGCTCCGGCAGTAAAGAGCCCAGGGGGCGCACACATGCAACAAGCCACACTCCCTGCTCCCAGCAGCCCTCAGTCAGAGCAAGAAGCAGCCAGGCAAGTTGCAGAGCCCCCCCGCCCCCGGTCCAAAACAGTCCAGTGGCACCTTTAAGACCAGGTTTTATTCAGGTACAAACTCTCCCTCCTCTGCGAGGACAGATCTACACGTTCCCCCTCCCCAATAGCTAGCAATCCAAAACAGTCCAGTGGAGCCTGAGCGGTGGGTGTTGCCTTCTGACTCGCTTCCGGTGATGTCAGGGGGTGTGGCATATGCAAATGAATTATGCTAATGAGTTATGCTAATGAGCTCCTGCACCTCTTTTTCTACGAAATGACCCCTGGGTTTGGGGACAGGGTTGCCAGCTCTGGGTTGGGAAACACCTGGAGATTTGGGGGGTGGAGCCTGAGGAGGGTGGGGTTTGGGGGCATAATGCCTGACAGTCGAACTTCCAAAGCAGCCATTGTCTCCAGGTGAACTGATCCCTGTCGCCTGGAGATCAGTTATAATAGCAGGAGATCTCCAGCCACCCCCTGGAGGCTGGCAGCGCTCGTTGTGGAGGGGGCAACCTCGGTGCTGGCTGGGCACCATCAGGCAAGGGAGGGAGAAATGAGACTTAACACCTCTGAGCATATTTTTTATACGCAAGCTGAGGTAATCGAAGTGGGGGTACTGCCAGCCAATAGGGACAGGCATGACACTGAAAAGTACAGTTCGGCTCGGGGTTCTTCAGGGCAGCCTCTAGATGCCCAGTGACCATATTCTCTCCTCACTTAATTCACAGTTACAACCAAACATCAACCTTTCTTCGCCTGATGCCGGAGTAGCACAGTGTTTCCAACATCTGCATGAATTTTTGAACAATGTAAGTAAACGGAGTGCTTCTTAGGGACCGCTGATCTTTCTAATGATGCATTTGGGGCTTCATGGATTCCCACTCAACTATGCAGACCAACTGAATAAACGGTTTGTGCCATTGTCTTTCCCACATGCAGACATGTGCCAGAGAACGCACCTTCTTATGCGTGTGAAAGACTGTGCTTATATTCACATGGCAGTTGCCCTCCTATACAGGCACAGAAGGGAAGGGGTAAAGAAAGATGGGAAATTGATAGATGTACAACTGAGGGTGCAAACCTATGCACACTTACCTGGGAGCAAGCACTAAGGAACATAGTGGGACTTTCTTCCGAGTAGGCGTGTGTAGGATGGCTCTGTGAGTCTAGCCAGTATTGCACCTCTGAAACATAGACTCCTTGACTACTCTAGAGCCTTGTTCCCTCTAAGCTGAGTTGGTGTGAGCTAGCTCACAGTTTTTTAGCCTCCAGCTCACAGATTTTTGTCTTAGCCTAGGAAGGATGGCTCCAGAGCAAACTGATTCATGCAGTAGCCAAGTCGCTTGCTCACAACTTTAATGCCAGGAGCTCACAAAGTTGAATTTTGGCTCACAAGACTCTACAGCTTAGAGGGAACATAGCTCTAGAGGTGATCTAAATGTACAACATCATCATTCCTACCCATCTAAACATCATAGGGTTGCCAGACCCCCCCAAGTGGAGGTGGTGGTCCCCTGCCACCTGGCCTCACCACTCTGCCACCAAACAGCTGCCCTGTGGGGGGGACTTAACTAGAAAAAGAGCGAGGCCCAGTCAATGTTACAGTGACATAACTACACTTTCAATGTGACCCAGAAGGGACATCATCACACCCATGACATCGAGATGATGCTCTAGCATTTGGGGTAAAACTCTATGGTAGATGCCAAATTTACCATAGAGTTTTTGCCCAAATACTAGAATGTTGCCCTGACGTTGCTGCGTGATGACGTTACTTCCAGGTCATGTCAGAAGAGATGTAGAGCCATCATTGCAACGTTGGCTGGGCCTCCCTCCTGCTCCCAGTAAGCCCCCCCATCCCCCGCCGGTTGCCAGGAGGGCCCTGGCAACCCTAAAACGCCACGACATAACAGTGTCTTCAGTGTGTTCACTGAAATTCCTGGAGCTTATTTCCATCGCTTTTTAATGCTTGCTTACTCTTTGTTTTTAAGAAGGGCTGGATCCAAAGGTTCCAACCCTCCAAAGGGGGAGCCTTCCATGTTGCTTCCACTGGAGGACAGCTCCCTGAACCTCAGGGCAGTCTAGAGCATTAAAAGCAGCCAAATAATTTGGATCCAACAGTTAGTGTTTTAGAAGTCCCCCATCAGGATGTTCTATTGCTTTATTTGATAAGGTCCCGTTTTGCTTGGGTGCAGTTTTATTATGTTATAGGCCATTCTGAATTTTTTAAAGTGCTTTATAACTTTGGAAACAAGTAAAAGCAAGTAATACGTTGAAATGAGAAATATGGCATATAGGGTTGGATCCAGTCTGCTTTTTAAACTCAGATCTCACACCTCTCCGCTTCACATGACAGCCCCCCCTCCCACATGGCTTTTGTCCATGTAGGCCCCACAATTCTCTGCCCTTTCTGGGGGGGGTCAAGGTTTTTTTTTCACCAGCAGCAAAGCTGGCTGGATCCAAGCAGTATGGTATACAACAAGCCTAAATCTGTAAAACTGATGGTAAACCTTTAAAGCAAAAAGCAAATGTATGATCTCATAGAATCAAAGAGCTGGAAGGGACCTCCAGGGTGATCTAGTCCAACCCCCTGCACAATGCAAGAACTTCACACCTACCCCTCCCCCAGTGACCCCTGCTCCATGCCCAGAAGATGGCAAAAAAACTCTCCAGGATCCCTGGCCCAATGTGGTGATCAGCATTTCCCTGGGTGTGTAAGAAAGGGCCACAAGAGCTAAGCACTGATGCAACCCTTCCTGCCCTCCCTCTCATGATCTGCCTAAGGTCACTTCCTTTCTTTCTTAAAGCATCCGAACACTATCTGCACTTGGCAGATGCTGAGCCGCGATTCCATGGTGATGCTTCAACTACTTGAACAGAAGAAGGGAAAGCACCGTAGCCTTCTGTGAACGAAATCACGTGGCTGTAAAGATGTATAATGTGTAATATATAGCTACCTAAAGAATATTTGTTTCCGAATACTAGTGATAATAAACGTCTTTTTAAAGAAAACAAAAAAAGGAAAGATGTCACGCATCTATTCTGCTCCGTCATCATTTCTTCAGGTATGAGACAGCACAATTCATAGGGTTGCCAACCTCCAGGCAGTGGCTGGAGATCTCCTGCTATTATTGATATCCAAGTGACAGAGATCACTTCACCTGGAGAAAATGGCCACTTTGGAAGGTGGTCTCTACCCCTCCCCAAACCCCACCCTCCTCAGGCTCCACCCCCCAAATCTCCAGGGATTTCCCAACCCAGAGCTGGCATCCCCAAAAATTAATAAGGGAGGCATTAATAAAGTGTGCTATTGCATAAGGAGAACTACATCTATCCAGAGGTGCATCCATCTTCCCCACAGACAGCCTTCCCACATCCCCATTTGGCTCTGTTTACTTTAATGAAATGTGGTACTTGGAAAACCCGGAGAGAGGTGTCCTGGGCATTGGCACGCCATGTGCACTTTACAATCCCAGCATCCACAACAAATTGCCGGATCTCTAGATTGGGTCTGAAGGCTCTTTCTCCCTTCCCCATCTGTCCATAATAATTGATCCAGAACTGAAAGCTGTTTTTTCTTCACTCATCAAGTAATTCACATGAGGAAATTATGCACATCTTATCACATGATGCAATTATGTTTGGATTCTCCGCCAGTGGAGATTGTATATTTGATTGTACCCCCATTCAGGCCAGAAGCACATTTCTGCCCAAACGGGCTGGGGAGGTTTTGTTCCCATCTCATTTAGAGAATGGTGGGCACCAGATACGGGGGCTCCAGGAGAAATATGAGTGGCTTAGTCATTCAGCCAATGAGTGGGCAAGGAAGAGGGAGCCATTTATAGCGTTACCTCATGGGCAACATCTCTGTGCACAAATTTGGTGCAGGTGGCAAAAAGTGAGGCATGACTCGTGGCCGTGTTGAGCTGGCATCCAGAGTAGGTTGCCCAAATGTCGGCAACCTCAATAGGGCAGCTTCTTAGAGAACCCATGCACAAAGGGGAGTGGGTTGATTCATGCAGTTCAGACTGAGATCAACAAACCATAGTTTAATTTTGACTGGTGCTCTCATTTTGGGATACGGGGGCAATGAGGCCAGAACCTTTTCCCCTGACATCTAGTTTTCTATGCTCATGCAGTCAAGGGATCCCTTACCTGCACTGTGAAGTGGTATAGCCCAAGTACAGTTTTATCACACGATCTGCGGTTTGTGAAGATGGGGCCTCAGTACTGAGGGTTAGTAGTAGTGTTGTGATCCTTGCAAACAATATAATCCAAAATAGAACTTCACCTGCATGTCATGTCCATTTTTTGCCTTGAATCGGTTGCCATACTCAAGAGGCGGACATGTATGCAAATTCAAGTGAGATTCATTTGGAGGTGATGGGTTGCTATTGGCAGCATTCTTTGCTCATTAGGCAGCCTGCTGAAAGTGGCTATTGACAGACACACTCTCTCAGGCCTGAATGTCCTGAGGAAGGGCAGACACAGTTTACAATCTTGACTTTGCAGAAGCAAATAAGAACATAAGAGAAGCCATGTTGGATCAGGCCAATGGCCCATCCAGTCCAACACTCTGTGTCATACAGTGGCCAAAAAACCAGGTGCCATCAGGAGGTCCACCAGTGGGGCCAGAGGTCCTCCCACTGTGGCCCCACAAGCACCAAGAATACAGAGCATCACTGCCCCAGACAGAGACTTCCAGCTATATGCTCATAGCCACTCATGGACCTCTGCTCCATATGTTTGGCCATATATAAATGGGAAAGACTGGAAAAAACAAGAGCTGTGTTTGTCTGGCCATTTTTAAAAAAGATAAGACAACCCACCTCCTCTAAATAGCATCCATCAACCAATTTAAAACTTTGCCAAATATATAAAGATTGTTGTTTAGTTGCCTTGGTAACCACAGCATTCTCCAAAAATATCCATGGACAAAGTATTTGCAATCCAGTTTGCCAACCGATTGATGTTCAATTGTTCATTATATTTCACCTGATCAGCAAAGAGTACTTGCAGGGGCTTCCATACAAAGTTATAGAAAAATCTAGTCCTTGGAAGTTCGGCACGACAAAAAAACAAAACAAAAAAACCCAGATCCACAATCAAAGTAAATTAAAAAGATTGTGGCTTTCCTTAAGCAAATACTTTATTGTTTACCAAAGGATCCATTCCCGTTTTTCTCAGTCGAAACTCTAATCTCATAGAATAGGAGAGGAACACATTAGGCACCCCCACGCAAGGAACTCAACAGCAAACTTCAGTCGTTTTTCCAAAGCTTGGCTGATCTGAATACTAAAAGCTTTACTTTTCTCACTGCCACCATGTGGTCACGAGTGGGAAAGGACAATGAAAAGGAAACCACAGCGGTGTTAGCAGCAGGCAGGCTCTACGTGCAACTCGCCACAAGAGAGCAGCCTGGTTCTGTTGGTCTGGAAACTGAATTCCTGAAGCCTCTCTTGCCAACAAGCATGGACACTCGGCTAAGAGCATAGTCACGCTGGGAAGAAGGAGCTCGGGCTGATCTATTGTTAATCTCCTTCCACAGCGGCTAGTTTTTCCTACGGAATGGGGAAATTAGCCACTAATAAGTCTTCTTTGTTGTGGGATTGACTTAGATTCTTTACGGCTTTCTCCACCTTTTGATGAGGGAGCCATTCAGAATGATCAGCAAATACAACCAGAGGGGTATGGAATCACAGAATCCTAGAATCACAGAGTTGGAAGGGGCCACACAGGCCATCTAGTCCAACCCCCTGCTCACTGCAGGATCAGCCTAGAGCATCCCTGACAACTGTTTGTCCAGCCGCTGCTTCAAGACTGCCAGGGAGGTATCACATGATGGATGTAACATATAGGGTGCGTTCAGACGGGGCATTTAAGCCGGTATAGATGCCAGTTAGAATCAGAGTACTTACGCGCAATCACACACACAACATCTGCCTTCCGTCCCTAACCGTTGCCAACCTTCACAAATACCCCTTAAACCGGTGTAGTTTGCCACTAGGTACCCAAGCGGTGTTTTCCTGAGTGCTCCGGTTCTAGCCACTTTCCCCTCATCTAATCACTCTCCGTCAGTGTAGAGCCACTTCTGTTCGGAAGCCTGAGGCTTCCGCTTTTCAGCCGCCATTTTTTTAAAGTAGGCGATGTGCGCTTGGGCAAAGCTTCGCCCCGTCGTTAATAATAATAATTAAAAAGGTGCTTAGTGTAAGGCTTTAGATGAGTCCGGGACCTCACGGAGGCCAGTTTCAGAGTAAAAATGTAAAGGGACTTCTTCGCTTCAGGGCATGCTTTTCGGGTTGGGTTGTTCTCCGCCTGTGCAAAGATCTTCATTATAAGTAAGACTGCCTATGTGCGTGCGCAAACTGTGTTAAAAAAACCCCCGCCAACATGCTCTGCTGAGCACCTTAAGTGTGGACGCCGGGGAGCGATGTAAGAGGTGAGTGTGATCACACTTCCCCCGGATCAAATTCATCTAGTTGGAACAGGAGCGGTTTGCACCGCTCCCAGCCCGCCGTCTGACCGCACCCATAGAATCATAGGGCTGGAAGAGACATCAGCGTCAGCCTTCCCCCAGCCCAGCTCACTGCAGGACATCCAAAGCTAGAAGCCTGGTTCTTAGCAGACTCAGAAGGAAGCCATAGTGGCCCTGCATGTCACCCCATAATTTTAAAAGTCACTTTTAAAGAAACATATGTAAGGCCCCTGTCCCCTCCTCAGCTGAGACACCCCAATTTGATCGCCAAATTCCTCTTAGCGGTTTGGAAGGGCACCCCCCTGAGACCCTAAGTGCAATGGGGATCTCTGGGGTAAGTTTCCAGAGAGCACATCTGGCCTGTCATATCCAGAGCACCTTCCCTCACAGGATGGCAGGATGTCACTAAAGCACCCCCCTCAGCTCCAAGGCACGCATAACACACAACCATATCCCCTGCTTTAAGGGATGCGTCATCAAAAGCAATATGGGCCATTTCCAGTTGGTGGGGAGAGGATCACCGCAGAAAGAGCCCAATACCCGATCCATCCAGGATGGGCAGTCGAGAGGACAATTCAGCTTCATGTCACACTCCCGGTTCTTTGTCCAGATGCCAAAAACACCCATCAATTGCCTCACCTTGGGACGTCAGGTGTCATTTCTTAATCTTCCATCTGAATTTCGATGGCAGTTACCTTCAGATTACCCAATTCAATTCCAGCTTTGCTCACTTTATCCGATCCCGATCTTGGGAATGAGGAGTCCCATGTGGAGCTATGGAATCCCCCCCCCATAAAAGAATTGGCACAGGTTGGTGAAAGGTGTGCCAAATTCCCTTAACTATCTGGATACCCCTGCAACCCTCCTCGGTGGACTTCCTGCTGCACAGACTCCCTGAGACTCCCAGCTTAAGAACTTAAGAGATGCCAATGTTGGATCAGGCCAAAGGCCCATCCAGTCCAACACTCTGTGTCACACAGTGGCCAGAAATACCAGTGCCATCAGGAGGTCCACCAGTGGGGCCAGGACATTAGAAGACCTCCCACTGTTGACCCCCCCCCAAGCACCAAGATGACAGAGCATCACTTGCCCCAGAGTCCCTATCTATACCTTGTGGCTAATAGCCACTGATGGACCTCTGCTCCGGATAAACATATGGAGCAGAGGTCCATCAGTGGCTATTAGCCACAAGGTATAGTTAGGAACTCTCAGTCTGGGGCAAGTGATGCTTGGTGCTTGGGAGGGGGGCAATGGTGGGAGGGCTTCTAGTGTCCCGGCCCCACTGCTGGACCTCCTGATGGCACCTGGTATTTTTGGGCACTGTGTGACAGAGTGTTGGACTGGGTGGGCCATTGGCCTGATCCAACGTTGGCTTCTCTTATGTACTTATAGATAGGAACTCTCAGGCTGGGGCAAGGGATGCACTGTCTTCTTGGTGC